AAGAAGAAGAAGAAGAAGAAGAAGAAGAAGAAGAAGAAGAAGAAGAAGAAGAAGAAGAAGAAGAAGAAGAAGACGACGACGACGACGACACACAACATGTCTGGCCTCTAAAAATATCACTGTCATAAAAGTCAGGAACAACTGAAAAAGTATAACAACTGGTCAAAACCCTATTCTAAATTACTAAAGGTGATATGTGATATTTTGGGGACAATTGGTAAAACATGATAAAGATTTTCGGGTGCTCTGATCTGCAGTGTACATAGGAATTGTTTGGAATATTACTGCAAATTTTCTGCAAATAAAAATTGTTTCCAAAGATCTGGCTGTGAATCTCAGTGACCAAGTACACAAGAAAACCCCTCTGTTGAGAAAATGCCAACTCATAGCAGTATTCTACAAAACAACACCCTTTCTAGCAGTGTCCCTGTATTTCATCTTAAAAATATTGCTCTGTGAGGGGTTTAAGCTGTTCCCAAATGCACAGAAATATATCAAAGCTAGCAAAAGACAAGCTTGCAAGGCAAGAATTCAATAAGCTTTAGTTTGTGCTGATGACCAATTATGCCCAGTTCACATAAAACCACAATTGCAGTATAATCTGTAATAGTAGCTGCAGGGCTTACAAAGCTTTATCTGAATGATGGTTATACACTCCACATTTCAATCTTTGTAAACTCACAGCTCTTCCTACTCAACAAATAAGTCAAACTTCAAACATTGTGAGTAATCATTTTCAAAACTTATGTTTTGCATTCTTTGCCTTTTAGAACATAGCATAGTTAAATGTCAATTTCCCAAGGTACATCCTAGGCAAAATGTAGACACTCACAAAAACTTGTTACAACCAAAATCTCTTGTGAGAATCCATGGTGCTGCTGCATAAGACATACCATCATATCAAAAGAAGACAACTCTCTAATTTAGATTTCCTTGACCTAAATAAAGTATGTACAGAGGGTTTCAGTTTATATTTAATTAAAGGATTTACAAAGCATAGTGATTTTTGCCACAAAAAATAGTGTCTTGCCTTATTTAAGGGATAGGCATCTTTTTCTTCTGAGAACTGCTCATGTCCCTGATGAGATTCTCTTTGCTTCTAGATATTTGTTTTATGTCTGACACATTTCTTATTGGCATTTATAAATGGTCAAGAAAATGAAAAAAAAGAATATACATCTCAAAATCGCAAGTTATAAATCTAGTTAAAAATTATTTTAAAATTTTACTAACAGTTACTAAAAAGACAAGTGTAGGAAAAACACACAGGCCTTGATTTTTTCCCCCTGAATTAAGCAATTATTACTTCATAGGTCCTTGAAAATATGGGGAATATAGCTATTTCTATATTCAACTGTAATGAATGCAAGAACAATGGAAGAGAAGTGAAATATGGGAGAGGAGAGGCATGTTTTGAAAATTTGAAAGAGATTAAAATATGAAAGAGATTAATAATTTTTGAACCACAGACAAGAAAAAAAAGTTTGAAGAAGAAAACATAAAGGAAGAACAATAATGTCAATCAATCAATCAGCAAATAAATTGAGGAAAAATTTTAAAAAATAGTCTTGCTAATCTTTGTCTTTCTTCTGATATTGGGATCTTAAATTCACGTTAACAGAACTTCATTTGAGAGTAAACTGCAGCTTTAATTTGGTTCATCCTACTTTGATCTCTTCTGCAGTTTCTTTTCCATACTAAGACAGTAATTTTCCTGATCATGTTTCACACACACTTGCTCATATGCATGCATGTGGGGATGCATACAAACACATATAGGAAGTCCAAGATCCTGACAGATTCAAGAATTTCAACCACAGTCTCCCTGGGCCATGGTGGCACACAACAGTAATCCCTGATGCACAGGAGGCAGAGGCAGGAGGATAGCAATTCAAGGTCAACCTGGACAACGTAACAAGGCCCTGTCTCAAAATAAAAAAAATATAGAGGGCTGGGATGTAGCTCAGAGGTAGAGCAGTCCTGGGTTCAATCCCCAGTACTGCCAAAAAAAAAAAAAAGGATTTTTACCACAGTCAGGTTCCAAATC